CAGAAAGGAGGAAGGCTTGCTCATTGTACGCATATTATAAGCACTGGGTGGTCGATCTAACGCTTCGGCGATTTAGATCAAGGAAAGCCTCTTGTATACCGGGTTCGGGGGGTCTCTAGTCTAAAGAACTGTCTTGTGTTTATCTCGCCTTATTATAGAGTCAGTCTCAATGGTTTTTTCGGCTTTTTGGGCTCTGAAGAAGGCGAACTCGCCGAAACGTTAGCCCTATGAAGTGTAGAATCTTGGAAAGGCTGAAGCAAATAAACATACATATCGGTGAATAGTAGAGCAGTTTTTAGAAAAGCTTGACACTTTGGTGGAAGATGTGGGATGTGACAGATCTCAGATAATTATCGCTAAGGACTGCTAAGAACTGAAGGCTTTGAAATGCATAGACCACAGATTCTCTCCCTTTCTTCGTATTGACTATTGTAGTGTATGATGTAGGATATGAATCGATCGCAGCAGCGGACGATAGAATTGATAACAGCTGATTGGAGGGCAGAAACCACTTAGTTCCTAACGCTACAGAACATCCACTCAGCTCCCTACGTGGATCTTGTATCATTTCTTCCTATTAAATTACGACTACTGCATATTAAGGTTCAGGGCTCAACAGAGAATTACATTTACTCATTATTCCGATTGAGATGCACTGAATTTATTCGATCAGTAACAATCTGAGAATCCCAAAGAATCCTTACTTCATATAAAGTACTCGCATCTGTCCGTCTGTACATCTGTTTGTTTGCACGGAAATTCATAACTTCTGTCTCCGTGGACATAGAACGTTCAAATTTGGTAAGGGTACAGGAGGCAGGATGGGAACATTTATGGCCGGTGGCAGAACCGGACCGCATCCCCAGGGTGCGGGGTTTGCGCCAAAATTGTCAATTTGGCCCTAGAGCGTTCAAACTTGGCAGGAGTATCGGCGGCAAAATGTGAACGCTTATGGTAGGTGGGAAGACCGGACACGCCCAAAGGATGCGGGATGTGCGCGAATATTTTCAATATGACTCTAGGGCGTCAAAACTGGTAGGGGAACAGGCGACAGTACGCGAACACCTATGTTGGGCAGTGGCCGGACCAGGATGGGAACGCTGACGATAGAATAGACCTTAGAGAACAAAATCCAATCACCATTTATGTCCTAGCGCCTTTGTTATTTATGATCTAGCTTTGATTCCTTGATATGTTTCATTCGACAACTAGGGTAAGTGCGTGCACTGATAGGGAGCGATTATGAAATTCGGTTCACTTCTTACTTACGACCGCTACCCACCGAAGTTTGCGATTCAATGAAGGGTCACGCTTCCTCTCTGCTTTGATATCATTCATGACAGAATTTATCCGACCGCTAATAATTTGGGAGCCTCTATTGATGATATATCCTTAGGGAAAGATTTTCATTGATAAGAGCCACCTATTTTTGCAGTCTGCATCTCCTTGAGGTATGAAGAGTCACTCGGCCTTTTTCAAGAGACTCACAAAGATGGTGAGCACATCCAACTGTTAGCAGCGATAGAATGAACTCCTTTTACTTTGCTACGGTGAAAACTTCTGTGAGCCAATAAAGTAACTTCTATGTCGAGTGCTGCTTTTGACTACCTTATCGCAGCACTGCGTATCCAGATCAGTTGATTGATTAATTAATGTAATGCGCGCCTTAGCGTGCATAGCCCAACTGGTAGATCATATCGAGGAAGATAAGAAGGACCACGTATAAACGACATCTGACAACGTTGTTATCATCATGACCTACGGGCACGCACGCACGTACGTTGAATCGTGCGCGCGAGGAGCGAATGCGATGCGACGGCGACGCTAGACAGGTGTTGACAACATTAGACGATGGATCACGTGCCAGTGCTGTCAACAGGCGGCTAACGCCGCTGTCGCATCGGCGCTCGCTCCTCGCACGATTCAACCTGCCTGCGTGCACCTACGCAGGCACGCACGTTGGTTGTCTCGGTGAAGTCTGAAAGCAGTCAAGGGGAACCCTACATGAGCAGGGCATACGACTGGTACAAGTATAAACAGAAGGCTAAACCTCTCTTATCTCTCTTATTTATAAAGCAGTAACTTGGTGTGTCAGTTTGTAAGTTTGTCGGTGTGTCGGTGTGTCGGTGTGTCGGTGCGTCGGTTTGTCTGCCTGTCCTTCCGGGGAACTTTGTGATTACGATAAAGGTAGTTAGAGTAAGTACTGCGGAGTGAAGTGAGTAATGTGGAGTGAAATGGATAGTTCAAACTGTGATTTCGATCTGTACTGGCATCGTGCTATGTACGTCTATTTAATCTATACAAAAAATGGAGGTGATAATTTAGTTGGGAGATCCCGCTTTCATTCTCAATATTGAGCGCAAATGAGGGGGTTGGCCCATAAATGTGCTCAGGTTTCTCAGCCGAGAACACAGTTTTTGACCTGAGCTTCAGTAGGGAAGTGGGTGGATGAGCCAATTGAATATTCAGCTCATATCGCACCAATTGGGTCGCCCGGCGTAAGCGACACAATTGGTGCGATAAACTGGTGAAATAAAAAAGCGAAAGCACTCTAATAAGTAGCTGGGAAACGTGCAGAAAACATGGAAGTCTACAATCATCATCCAGTTCAAGTAATCGCACGATACGCTCAAAGGACTAACTACTCTTGCTTCGAAATTTCATAGATCCTCAATCTGCAATTTATGGTCAATGCGTTGGATACACGCGCCACGGCTCCCACGCACGTGAGAATTAACACATTGATAAGATAACAGCGAGAGACAGCAAGCCAACAAAAAATGAACTTTGAACAATCAACACTCAAGAACCATGGGAAGGTCAAGCAAGTACGAGAAGGAATTTTAAATGTTTTGTGTTGTAAACAGTGACCGAACAACGATGAGAGGAGTATATCATGTTCTCTCCGAAGAAAAGAGATCTCACCTCTCAGCAGCCAAGCGAAGCCGATTTGTGTCAGTACCATGCATAATACCACTACTTTGAAAGCTGGATCTAGCCCAAACAAATCCTTGATTTGAGGATATTTTTCCAGCATTTCTTTGCGCCTTCAAAATACATTGGAAACTTTAGTATATTTTAATAACGAACTCGAAGGTATTCAACAGATCAATAGTAGTAATGTTCTTATGAGTATTCTCCCACTAAGTAATAGTTTCTTTTGTTCGCATTAATATCAAAGAGTCATCTTGGACACATTAAAAGGACTCGTAAAATTTTCGGAAATATTGTAAGCTTACCGAGCGACGGAGAAATCATGCAAATTTATTAACCGACGAACTTCACAATACTGCCTAGTGTACCTGTTTCTCATCCCCTGCGCCTCAGTTCTCGAGCTCCCTTTTAAATTGTGAGTGAGTGCATACAGATTATTTCTATCACGCTGTTCATTGAAACGACTTAAAAGACGTCGAAACCGATGAATCAGGCACGCCAGTACTTTTTTTGTATGTACTGCCTGCCATTCATACCAACAGTACAAAAGATTAGATAACAGGCGAGCAATTTACACCTTCTAAATCAGAACCCCCACTACATTTCTGCTTCACAACCTCTTTGGATGCACAATTTCAACCTCTTGTGTTGCATTCTACTTTCTAAAACAGAATGCCTATAAATTTAGAGAAAAAAATCACCAGAAAAGACAAAGAAAAACGAAGGGAAGCGATTCAAACACCACACTGTTGCACAGAGCAACAAGAGTATAACACTGAATGTATTTTTCGAATCAAACATGGCTGTCAAATGATAAATAATGATAGATAGCATAACATCTGATAAAACGGGTAGAAGCAAAAATGAAAGGAATTATTGTCCTGGGACACTACACATCTGCATGCGCATAACGTATCCAGGCTCCACTTTCTTGTTCGAAACATCAGCCGCATACTTGTCCTTGAGTCCCCTGACGCTTTTCCGTGCACGCCTGCATGCCCGCCTCCGTGCAAAACTTTAAAGTCGAAAATATGCCTTGCTTTGGCCAATCACCGGCTGCGTTATCATGAAATCTCGAATATGTTGTGCGGACATAAGTTACTGTTGTCTATGATTTTCTATGGTGACTTGCGGAATATTGCGAAAATTCGTACTTTCGTAAGAACCCGGGCACCCTAGCACTTATCTGCTAAGAAAACTTCGCCGGTTGGTACCTCTAACTCCTGTCAGAAAACTGACACAGAAAAGAATCAGAGGATGGTCACAAATAGAAGGAAACAGGTTCATCATACAGGGTGCGCCATAAACATGGCAACAAAATAATGGTTGTGCAGAAACCGCAATACATATTAATACATGGTCAACTTATGTGAACTATTTACTATGCATCGCATTAACAAAAAGAACGCACGGTCATCTGATATATTTACCTGTACGTGTTCTGTACTAATTATGGCTCAAAGACGCTTTGGCTACTCATCGACGGCAGGACGCAGAGTTGCTTGAGAAAGCTTTTTCAACTATTTCTCAGAAGCACCAGCAGTGATAAGTTTTAAGGGACAGCCTTTCCTCTCCACTATACACTGTGCTGTAGGACCCACACGGTTGAGGACCGGAAAATTAGCAGACCATTTGGAAGCAACGGTGAAATCGCGAACATCTCCTCAACGCCAGTTTTGATCTCTTACCACTCTTGAGCAAGTATGCGAGTGTTTCCAGATCGATCCCAGGAAAATTTACGACCCTCAGCAGCACCTTTTCAAAAACGTTCCTCATGAAGGTGTTCTGATCAATTTTCACAATTTTTTCGATGAAAAATGAGCGTAAAATAATAAATAAAAATAAACAAAGTGGCGTGAACATTATGGAACCCTGCTGACACTGGTCTTGGTACCACTATTAGTTGGGTGGTTTCGAAGAATCCACAAAGTTACGGTGAGTGGTTCTCCTTTCGACCACCTGCGTGCCCTGGGGGTCTCGAACTTAGTGGATTGGTGGAGACGTTTGGTCGGATAATCACAGATTGATATGATCCTTTCAGGCTCTGAAGAAGGCGATTCCGCCGAAACGTCAGCCTAATAAAGGGTATTTAAAAACCTCGCGAAGAGTTCAAGACAACAACAAACTCAGTAATATATACATTATGGAAAGTTTCTGAACACAAAAAATCTAAAAAATCCCGAAATTTACGCGCTTCTAAACGAGTCGTTTTGGAAAGTGGAACAGGGGTGTTCGCCGCTTAGCATATAAAAGAAGTCAACCAACACACACAGTGAGCAAACAAATATGCTTACCTACTGGCGTGTGGCTCCTCGTCGTATGACCAGGTGAAATCGGCTTTGGTAACCTTCTGACCCATAGTTTCTGGAGGGGATGTTCATTAAAAGTTGCTATCCTACGCGAAATGACTTTTGATGAGATAATAGTCAAATGATAAGGGAAGGCGAGAGGTAGCAAAAAAGTGTGAGGAAAAGCACTTATAAAACAGTTTCCAATAGGTTGTTTCACTGGAAGTGAACAGTTTTGGATCAGTTAGAGTCAAGCAACAAAGATATTCAAAGAGCAATGTCAACCTCATCACGAGAAAAAACGGCGCAAAAACAAAAAAGACCGCTCGATCTTGTAATTGGAACTACGATCAATTCAATTGCACAAGGAAATCTTTCACCCACCTCGGTGCCCCTCCCCTTCTAACATTAATTGTTGGGGGAAAGCCATAATCTTTTGGCTAAAACATTCTTTGAGTGAAGTAAGGCAACTACCCTTCTTTCTTTGCGTTCTAGCGCTCAGTGTTGGAAAGCGGTAACCTCACTTTCCCCNCCCCCCCCCCCCCCCCCACCCCTCAACCAACTACATTTCCATCACGTCCCATACATACTCGCACGAAAAAGAAACTAATGCGCGTAACTCAACCGGATGCTAACCACATTCCGGAGGTGATATCATTGCTTCTTGTAATTAACGCCAAAGAAAGGTGGTATTGGTGTTATGCCATGCAGCGACGCCGCATGGTAAGGGGACCGAACTATGGATTGGCACCCACCCAAGCCAATCAAGCCTTCCATTTTCCGCTGTCGATTACTCCGTACCAGACCCATACGGAAGGGTAAAAGCACTGACTTCTTCATTGACTGGTCACTGAAAGCCATTATGAGGCCACGCATGCATTCAAGTGACCACAACGAATCTGAATGGAGGTTGAACGCGAAGGTGGATCCTAGAAACCATGTTGATTCACAACAAACGCAGTTCAACTCACTTAAAAATGACTATTCAAAAAAAAAATGCAAACAAAATGACCACCGGAAGCCAAGCAATTGAATTCACTGAGTTAACAATCTACTTCATATAAACAGCACTATTACCAAAGTCGAGCTTGCCAATAAAGTAAGCAGAAATAATTGAACAAAGAGTTCCAGATGTCAAAGCACACACTAGAATTTCGTAGTTATTCGCGATACGGCTACGTCACGGCCTTGGCAATGGGGCGCGGTGGTCAAATTACTCTCTGTTGGGCTGCCTATTGCCGATAAAAAGAGACAGCTTGAGCACTACAAAAGTTCAGCTTTTCTTAGAGAACAGCTGCAAGGAAAGCACTCTTCTTATTCCCATCTGTTTCCCTGCACCCTTCCCTTGAAATCTAAGCGCTGGTAGGAGGGTACCGCAGGTATGAGGTATGCCAAGAGGATATTCATTATGTTTGAACACCTTATTCCGGTAATGAGAGAGAGGTCCTAGCCTCACTGCTACAAAAGAAAGTGTTATGTCACGATTACCTTTTCAGAGAAAAGGAGCGGTGCTTTCCGGCCGGCAATCAGTCATCCTAATTACGCTGGTTATTCCATCAGAGGGTGGTAACAGAAATGGGTTTCTTCACGAACTCGAAATCTTAGGAACGTCCACACCGGTGGTGTTCTTGTATTGCAAAATTTAAAAGTGTAATCCATACGGCACGAGGGAAACTCCTTCCAATCAACTTCGGACCAAGAAAACTGGCAACTCACGGCGATTATGACCGAGATCGTGGATGAATTCACGTCAGGCGTTCTGAAGGGAGGGAAGACACAGCTGCCGATTCTAATCGAGTGAATTTGCGTATCACAATATCTTAAAGAGCCTAGTAATCAGTACTTCGGATCCTCCAACATCTAAAATGGCATCAGATGGCATTTCGCGAATTTATTTGCGGTTTAGGTGTTTCAGAAGGAAGATTTCAAACAACTTGCCACACTTTGCTACACTCCTGCAATAATGAAAAAGGAGGCGGGTGCTAAAAAAGGTCTCATTGGGAAGGCGACCATACATAAATTAAGGGTGTGCGATTTCCGTTTGCGATCACCTTTGGCGAGTATCGCGTCGTGAAGAATCTTACTGATAAGTGAAAATGATGAATTAAAGCGCATTTATTGATCAATGCGTGCAGCATGAAAGGGAGCATACATTGTTTACAGGCATGGACCATGTACTTTCGATGAAAGACGTACTCAATTGGAACGGTGTGATATTGAGACAATAATGATATAATGAGTTGCTTAAATTCAGGTTCCAAAAAGTGGTATAACAATAAAGTAGTATAATGTTATTATTAACATTGCATTGAGCACAGGAACATAAACTTACACGTTCATCAATTCCGTGAGAAAGTGCATAGCAGAGAAGGAACGGCGTAAAAGGGTCCAACCGCCGGTTTCGCTAATCCCATTTCATAGCTATGTCGAGAGATAGGTGAAGATGGCTGCCAATTGATCACTTGACTCGGTATGTCTCCGCAGCTTCATTGACATATCTACCAGCTGATAAAATGTGCGGTGAGAAATTCTGGGTCTTTCCAGCAGCTGGAGCGGAGCTAGATCCTGTCCCGTGTAGGTGTTTGCTTGTACTCTTTCAGCTCTTTTCAGACTACATCTTTAGCAAAATTTAGTTTTACGTGAAAGAAAAGAGGTGTCACCTTTGTATTCTGAAAATTCTTAACGCTTAAAAAATTCATAAAAGCCTTCAATAGATGAGCTTGAACGAAGAATTTCGTTTATATGAACTACTCCAAAAAAGTGAAGAATTGAAAATGGATAGTTATAAGGTTCTACAATCCAGAAAAGATGGACTACCGCAAAGAAGGGAATCTGTGGAGAAATATCTTCAAATATTCCTCCATAATCTAGGGCTTTCATATGAATAGGGGACTGGGTGAGCAGATACGACACTAGACGAAAAGTATAGGAGGAATGATAAGGAGATGGGCAGATAGGGCAATCATATCGCAGAATGCGCACGTTCAGTTGCAACATCAGAATTTACGGAAGGTTGCAGTATTTCTGAAAACCAGAATTAACACACTCTTTTAGAATGGAAGTTCATAATAAAGCATAAAATAGAATGTGATTAAGAAAATATGAGGCATCTTTCAGCTTGAACGAAGAATTCTATCACACAACGCTCATCATGTACCTCAGCAATGACAAACTGCACATTTGTATCCATGGATGAAGCGTTACTGAAACGAACTCATCGCTGTTTTATTTGTCCCTTTGCAAAAATTAGCTGGAAGCATTTGAGCATTAGTAAGCGTCATTGGAAAACAGCCCCATAGTTTCGCATACATCGCACGCTTGAAGAACTCCCATAAGCATGGTAAGCATGTACACTCCCGTACTGACTATACATAGAATTCAAAGTAGCAAGTATTTCTGAAGGAACTAACTCTTCCAAACCTTGTTGAAAGTGAAGGTGTCCCAAAACGATGTTTCCGAAATGCTATAGAGGCTCTTCCAAAAACATTCACGCTCCTGAAGCACTACGACTCCGCAACAAGAAGCGTTGAAAAAGCCCCTTCTGAATCCTTGTAAACAACTTCAACTTGAGCTGAATTACACCTACGGGTACCATATCCTCTATACTCAATGCTAAATGAATTACTGCAGTGAACATTGAAGGAGGTCAAGAATACTTCTCAAAATGTTGTCAAGGTCAAGCCGACACGTGCACATCGACGATATTTTTTGCTTATCACCAGTTTCTGAGAGTGAAAAATAGCTGTAATGTTTGCAGAGACCTTAACTATAAAGCTTGAGCTCTTAAACCAGCTGTCACATTAATGAAAAGTAAAAAATAATACGTCATGAAATGTCATCAAGCATCCTACTATATGTAACACGATAAATGTGTCCGATGGTTCGTTAGTGAGTGTGCGTGTGTGTCGATGTTTATGCGTTCGACGGGAAATTTTAACTCCCGTTCCCTTGTACAAAGAGAGTTCACATTTGGTAGGAGTGCAGGCGGCAAGATGTGAACTTATCGTGGGTAGCAGAAATGGAATCCGCGCAAAGGGGGGGAGGGGAGGTGGAGTGGGCGTATTCGCGGAATGAATAGATTGACTTCTGAGTTCCTGAATTCTGTTCCTGTGCACCTGGAGCGTTTAGGTTTGGTGGAGTGCATGAGCCAGGATTATAACTCTTACGGTAGGTAACAGATTGGACTCGGACAGGGAGGAAGCGTGTGTGACTTTTGATTTAGGCCTGAAACGTTCAAAATTGGTGGGGTTACAGGCGGCAGGATTGAGATACTGATGGCAGGTGGTAAGAAGTTATTGAGCTGAACTCAACTCAAAGGAGAGGGTGAACCATGCGAAATGAGGGCGACTGGGATGAAGTCTGTTGAAGTAAGTGGGAAATGAACCGAGCTACTTATACATACAAGACTTGAACAGGACTCTGTCCATGTTGCGTGAAGTATGTTGGTGAGCGTGCATGTGCGTCTGACCGAAAATAAGGGGTTACAAGGCTGTTGTCAACCAGAATTTCTCTCGTTGAGAGGATCAGGCGGTGATGCAATCTCTGCGTCTCGCGTTCACCAGCGAGAGGAGGGCGTGTCCGCTCGTTGTCCGTACTCTCCTTCATAGCGCTCTCTCGTCAAGAGGGATGTTCGAGGGGTCCAAGCGTCGAAGAATTTTCACAAGACAGACTTCTCCCAACTATGGAAACTTCGTATTTCAAAGTTCAGGTAGTCTGAGAGAAGGAAAGGCTTGTTCCTTGTCCAAATATTAATAAAACATTTGCATAGAACATCTACACTGAGGAAAATCTGTGTAGCTTGTAGAAAACCCAAGTTTGCAACCTATTTGCTACTTTGCTTTTATGGGAATCAGCGCTGAGATCGACAACATCGTTTGTAGATCTGTAACACCATTGATTCAATCTTTTCGCTAGGTATCCCATTGTATTACTGGTAATAGGAGGCATTGAGGTATGGCGAGCTCTTACGTCTGCCCTCTATCCTCTTCGCAGTGAGATGCCCATTTGGGGAGACGCAGAGAAAACGACAAAAACGCTGAGTCACTACACACGCGGTTGACAACGGTCCTGTAACCAAAATAAGGCTGCTTTCACAGTTCGCCGACCGGCCGCGAGCGCGCGCCGGCCGGGGGACTACTCGGCCTGCGATATCGATCAAGATTCAATTGTAAACAAGGGGCGATATCGATCAAGATTCAGATGTAAACAAGCGCCGCCCTCGGCCGGCGGACTATGAAAGCAGCCGAACACTTATTCTTCTGGACCAGAACGTCTAAATTTGAAAAGGATGAGAGTCGGTTACAACACGAGAACGAAAAGAGTCCGGCGTCAGCCGGGCGGTTTGACTGATCATTCTATACTTCCTTTTTATAGAAGTTAACAACAAATGCATGCATTACAACTTTGCAAGAATAGGTTTTTGTATTGCTTTCATTTTGTAAATGACTACAACAATGTTCGCATATGAATTTCGAAAAGAAAGCTGCCAATTAAAAAAATAATTCATTGCATGATAAACTAGCAAAGAAAACTGTGGAATAAAAGAGTAATACATCTCATGATAAACTAGCTATTCCTGAATAGATGTGCACCTGAACAATCTACAAATGCCGCAATTACTGTTTTTAAGCAGTAGCCGTTAGCAGTTCCTCGTCATCACCTTCCTTCTTTTCCTCCTTCTTCTTCCCTTTCTTGCTACGACGTTTCTCCAGCTGAATATTTTCGAAATAGTTGTTTACAAGAATGATTGTACAGCATAGATGTAGGTGTGTGGCAGATGTTGTACACGATAGCGGTGTGCTCCTTCCATAAATTGGCTCCCAAAAGCGCCAAACTTCTATGGTAATACAAGTTTGGCATGAACTGCAGCATTATTTTTACTTGCTTTTTGTCACTTTTTGTCTCCTGATCCTCTAAAGGATGAAGCGTACATGCCCTTCTGCTACACCCAGATTATAAACTCGTTACTGAACCTTCTCGATTTCCTCCTCAGTAGGAACGGGCAACCATTGGTCAACGTTGAGAGCATAGTGTTCCTCGCCTGGGATAGTCATCAAGAGAGCTCTGTAACAAACAATTTATTGTAGTGCTATGCGAATTAGAATGGAGGACACGTTCAAGGAGGCACAGCTCTAAAGAGGAGTACCGCAAAAAACTAATCAAATAAAGATTTGTATCCGCTTATCTTTTACATTCAGATATATGAGTTGGAGAAATGAGATTTAGCAGACCTATTGATGAATGGCCCCAAAGCAGCATTCCTATGTGCACATGCAGATCTTATCACAGCAGCTATATTCGCTTCAATTTCGACTTCAGGCATGGTGAGCTAAAAGAAAACCCCAGCAATACACATAGGATTTCGGTACGCACAAAAACGTGCTACCTACCCTGCCAACGACAGCGTTACTGAGCCCCCATATAGGATAGACGGGATCACCTTTGATAGAAAGCTTCACACCACTCTTGAACTTCTGGATAAGCTCGGGCAGGTCTTCGCCAAGTCCACCTGCAAGGTACCTGATAGAGGAAATGTAAAACCTGGGTCAGCTTACCAAGGACATATCCGCTCACCGTTGAAACGAGAGGGGAACTTGGTCCGAAGGATACCTCTTAAAGGCAAAAGATAGGAGGCCATGTCAACGTGAGCAACGCAGAAATCATAATCATCAGTCCGAAAATGACCCTTTATTATCTAAATGGAAGCGCTTGAGATGACGACGAGGTAATAGTAAAGTTCAGCGCAAGAATTTACTGGAAAAATACTTCGCCAAATCTTCAGCTTAGTGAGCTTACTTTCTTAATGACGTCCTGGCCGAGAGCGATTTCAGCGCCAGATTCCACAGCAATTTCTTGAAGTTTCGGATCATTTACGAATGCAAGAATTGTGCGTTTCTCGCTATGAGGAAACGGGTAAGGTACTGGTACAATTTCGTCGGAATTCGTTACCATTTTAGTCTGAAAAGTTGCAACTAAACTTCTTAAACTACTACAGAAACAAAGGCGTAAGTAAGTAATCATGAAATTGAATCATAAGTAATCAGTAATTATAACAATCATGATTTGAAAGTTCCTTTCAAAACGATTAAATATGATTACACTTATATCGAAGAATAACAACATTCATATGAGTAATCTAGAGTATAAAACATGATTAGAATAAAAAGAGAGTACCTTGACGGTCAAGAAAAAAATCACGAGAGGAAATCACAAAAAGGAAAAAAAGAAAGGCAAAAGGGAATGAATTCACACCTGTCTCTCTGTGGACATGTTTAGTTCGAGCCGCAGCCTTACCGGAGCGTTTGGATTATTGAATATAGAAGGTTGTTGTAGGACCCGATGTCGTGCAAGGGCTTCAGCTACAGAATAGAACTGTGTCTTCACTTTACTCCTACAAAACACAAGTATTCATGATAAGGTTTTGTGAACTTTAAATAACTAACTAACTATGACCTTATGAAGATGTTAGTTAGAGGTTTATCAGGAAGATTGGCCTCATCTTCGCGACACAGACGACCAGGAAACTGCTGAGATGGTGAAAGTCTGAATATGTTCAATAGTGTGAATATTTCATGGGAGACACCCAACCAAAGAATGGATCAGAGTGGATTTGTGACTGTCATTATTTGTGCTTCTGATGGCCACATATATTACCCTTTTGCATGCCCAGAGAAGGAATTGCCAAAATTCAATTACTTTTTTGGAAAAACTTCGCATAAGGGAACTGAAGTCAACAACAAGGTAAAATTGCATTTTCAAAGGAAATACACACAAATTTTTCATTCTACGAATGTTGATTCGCTCCATGAATGTATACTGTTTACGAGCAGCTTCTTTTTCTTCTCTTTTCAGTCGACGTTCGAGCTTTTGCTGTCTAGTAAGGCTCTGCTTGAGAGCTCTTTTACGACCTAAAATTGGCGCTAACAACAGGGTGTAACGTAGAATATTCAACAGAAAAAAACCTTTTACCTCTAAGTTGCGTGAAGTCACCCGCAGCAGGCCTCAGGAGGTCTAGCACCGCCAGTCCGCTACATGATAAAATAGCAGTATACCGAAATGAGGAGATCATCTGGAAAACACGTAGTATATTTTACAAGCCGTTCTCGGGTGAAAAAGAAATCGAGACGGGAAGAACAAATACAACTAGACCGAGGAAATCATCAAAGCAGAATGTGTGTCACAATATGGAATTACTAGATATGATTTTCTTTCGACTAAATCATAAAGTGTTCAAATGTGACCATGGCCCGTATGCAAAACGCCCAGGGTAGGGAAGGGGAGAGTCTCCCCGAGGAAATGTTTGTTTTCGCCGTGGGTCAGATAAGTGACGCTGGAGCGCAGTATTTCGCGCATCCAGTACTGTCTGGCCAATGTTAGATTGGTATCCGAAGTTCGTGTTTTTCGATTAAATGAACCGGAATTTGTAGAGAGTGTGGATTTTCGCCTCAGGAAAGCTTTTTAACAAAGGGGGCTACATTCTACGAAGGCTGAGGGAAGTAGCAGATGTTGCGCTGTTCCACTAAATGTACGTGGAGGGTTGTGGAAATTTTGAACCGGGCATCCAGTTATCGCGCACCCAAGTACAGAGTAACCTCAGTTAGATGCGCAAATTAATTATCACCACGCTGCTCTCAGATCGTAATTAAGCGTGTGAAAAAACAAATGAAGGGGACAAAAAACAGTGAAGCGCTTAGGAGAAAAAAGCTTCGAACGAATAAAATTTGTACACCAGATAAACAGTGGATATTGTGGTTACTAGATGTTAGACATTAAATAACACTCGGCTTGAGAGTTGGGCTATTTCTCATCTTCTATAGGGTTTTCGGAGATTTGGGGCTGAAAGCAGTGTTATCAAAGAGGCCGCAAGAGCCATATCATCACTAATCCATTCAGATTACTTATTCGATACGTGCCACTTCTTCCACTCTTTAACCTTTACATTTCTGCTCCATCCTAGGCTTGGGATGCTCATACGTCGAGAATCCTGTACATACGCACCCACCCCCAGAACCGCGGTCCTCAGCTTCACCCCTCCGAAATTTATTCCCCGTCACTAGCACTGATGTACATTTGGTAGACATACTTTTCTCCAAGTCACCGCATCGAAGCATTTCAGTCCGTTGCAGCGTGTATTCAACATTTACACGTGGTATACACATGATTCTTGTTCGAAAACAACTTTTTCGCTCTAAGCGCCGAGCTTTCTTACTATTGCTATCATAATACATCTTCAACACTTCATATTTTATGCGCTCATGAAAGATATGGACAACATAATGGACAACAAGTTTTCGCACCTAGGCGAGGAGTGCCCCTTTTGCGCGAAGGCTTGTAAACCCGCTTTTCAAAGCAGGGCTCGTTAGAAAAAAAAAAGAGCAAAGCGAGCAGAAGGTGCACGATTACAACTGCAATACCTGACAGCATTCTATTTAGGATGAACAAAAGCGGAACATAAAATAAATTAATATTACGCATAACAAGCGCCATGGCGCCACCCCACTCCCACGACAGGAATAGCAGGGTGAACAAAGAATAAAATGCAATAGAATATGAAATAATATACAAATCGGGCGAAAAACTGCTCACTAGTTGCTCACAGAAATAATTCCGGTTTCCTTCTCAAATCACACCAGGATCGTGATGCAACATGCTCACGATAACTGGTGTAAATCTAGAAAGAAAAACCTGCTTATTGGAAAACTAAACAGCTCCACAACAGCGACTGCACCATTTTAAATAAATTAGTAGGTGGTAGCAGCAGTAGGATGAAATCAGAGCAATACTTGACGAATTCGGCAGCAGAAATGAGAGAAATAAGCGCTAAGTCCAGCAAGTAGTGAATAGTGGAGTAGCGGTATACATGACCATCGGCGCCCCAGCTCGATTTTTGGGGTACGTTCATCCCCTTCCCAGGGTAGGGAGGCCTCCCCTCCCAGGGTGGGGAGTCAATGGGGTCGGGCTTCTCTGAGCTCTAGCTAAGATAAGGTCGCAGAAGCAAACATCACATGATTATCGAAGGCTGTCGATTCTTCCCCTGTTTACCGGAAAAGCTTTGCTCCATTTTCACTANCTTGACCCAAAACCTACCATTTGAACGTTCGCCTCGACTGGTCACTTGACTGATCGCGCCACTGGTCGCTCGATCGGTCGAGGAGGCCGCGCTAGTTATGGGTGCCGCCGTTGACGGTCCCGCGCGACCAGTCGAGCGACCAGTCGCTAGCGACCGGCGACCAGTCGCGCGATCGGTCCCGCGACCGGTCGCCGGTCGCTCGTGAGATGGGTCCGCGACCGGTCGCGGACTATGAAAGATGCCCTTCCCTACCCTGGGCCTTATGCATACGGGCCCATGTAGAAGAACTTGAACAACAAAACCTACGTGTGAGCGGTCGCGTCGCGGTTTCGCGCTACAGCACGTTATTTGGGTGAGCCTATTTAGTTCTGTCGTGGACGGTCCACTCCACGAGCTACTGCAGAGTGGAACTGAGAGGATCATTCAAGTTTGCCCAAATCAGTTTGCAACAGTTCTCTTTCTTACTATTTAACTCACACTGAAGATGAGCACCTATTCTATTCGTATTGGATGTTTCGTAACCTATTCCATTTCAAATTCAAACGCGTCTCGGATGGCCCGATCGACTACGGAAGGGTTTGGCGGATTTGGCGGGAAAGAAGGGTATAAGAGGCACCCCAGACAGACGGCTTACTCATCCCTTTTTTCGATTATTGGTAGTACTTTTGTTAACAGTTATTTGCTCATATA